AAAATTTAAATATTAGCAAATTGAACATATGATAATGGAATACAATATAATCTTAGAACATTAAGTGAAACAAATTGTAACAACTGCACGGAAGAAATAATTTTAAATTAAAAAATAAAAGAAAAAAAGAATTTGCTAATTTCGTTAAAANTTACTTATCGTTATTTCATTTATATTTATTGTTTGATTGATCTACTTGCTTTTATTTTCTTAAGATTATTAATTGACCAGCGTGTTCTTAATTTGCTTAATTGAAGTTTATTTTTCGATGGTAGGACCATTTAAGTTTTCCCAAATTTTGTTTGAGCTTTGATCGCATAGAAGAGCTCAGTAAGTATCTCTTCAAGACGTGTCATATTTTTGTTTACCTTTTTGCTTGCCATTATTTATGCAGTGATTGAAATTTGAAAATTTTGAGATCAAAAGATGAGAGAACAGGAAGGTTCTATCGGACGTGCTAAGAAATTTGTACGACAAAATTCATATATTAAATATAGAAATCGTTACAAATTATATTTCTGAGAAATACAAGTGGATATTAATTTTCTTGTAATCGCAGAATTACAAAATCTTCTGATTAATGATCTAAATGTTTGGAGATGAGGGGTCACGTGGCTTGAATCCTGGATTTCGAGATTTTTTGAGAATTTGATTTGTAAATAAATTGACTTGTTCGACATTTGAATTTGCACTTCGAAATTTGGACTAGAATTTGATTTGATTTGAAAAAGACTTGGATCTTCTTGAACTTGGCTTGGACTTGAATGATTTGAAGAAAACTTTGATCTTTTTTATGTTTGCCGGACTTAGGTATGAGAGGGTTTCTTCTCTTCTTTGGGTTTTGGAATTTTTTCCACACTTCTTGATTTTCTCCTGCACCTTCACTTACAAAATTTTATGGACCTTTGGTTCTATTCATAGAGAAATTTGTAACAAATTTGGTAACCATTCAATTATCATTAATTAAAAGGAATAATTGAATACTTATGTATTTTGAAAAAGTGGGATGGACCTTATTAGACTTTAATTTAACAAACTTAATTGGGATAATTATTTATATTTGACCAATCCATTATTTTATTTAAGTTTTTTATATATAGCTATATCTGTATATATTTTATGAAGATTAGAGTTTTACAAAAAAAGTCCAAAAGAATTTAATAAAAATAAATATTAGTGGATGAATTTAGAATGATATATATATTTATCTAGTTTTTTATATGTTTATTTAAGTAAATTTATATAAGGTTAAAAATAATAATATAATTAGTCGATCTGATTGGTGGATCCCACGATTCTACCTTTGTTCACGATCCTAGAGATCGCGTATCTAAACCTTTTTATTTACTTTTGTAGTGGGTCCCTGATTATGTTTAAGATTGGACATCGACAATATTGAAATGACTCAATTTTGGAAAAATCAAATTCAAAGTTGCTCATACATAAACTTGCCATTTTCCTTTTTGTTTTTATATTAGTTTGATGTTGCCAATACATTATTGAATAATTATTTGTATGTACATGTGGTTATCAAAGACGGACCCAAAAAGTAATCACTTCCGAAGAAATAATCACGAGTATATACAAATAACAATTCATGTATTGGCAACATCAAACTAAAATATAAAAGAAAAAGGCAAATTAGTGGGCACATTTGAATTTGATTTTCCCAAGACTGAGCTAATCTTGAGCCATATCAACATAATCAACTGAATTTTTCTCAGCTTTTTTTGAACGTTGTAAAAAATTAAATTTTTCGCAACAATTAAAAAACGTTGTAAAATTGTAAACTTTTCGCAACATTTATAAAACGTTGCAAAAGACGACATTAGTAACATTTATTTAAAAAATGTTGCGAAAGTTCAATTATATTAGCCAATAGCAACATTCACTTAATAAAATGTTGCGATAGATCCCTTTAGCAACATTTAATCAACGAATGTTGCCTTTTGCGTGTTGCAAAAGGCCATTTTTGGTTTAGTGTGGGGACATATTCAAACTTTTTAAGTCTGAAAATAAGTTTTTTTTTTTTTCAAAACATCATATATAAATGGAGTGATGGTGGTATTTTTGAAATTGTATTTGGGTAGATTGTGACGTTGATGAGAAAGGCAAAATTGTAGGAAGTAACAATTTTCAGGACAATGTTGGTTGAACAAAAAAAAAAAAAAGTAGGAATAATATAGTGTAAACATTTTAATCGATATTAATTGACACAACATTTGCAATTGTAACACATGGTTTATTTTTTTTTCATAAAAATAAGAATATAACAAATGAATTCATCGATTATAGTTAAATAATAAAATAACTAATAAAAGAAAATAAATAAAAAGATTAAATATGACAATACCTTCTATATCATTTTGTGAATTATCCAATACTTCTACCTCATCCAAATATTGACAATTAATGCATTATAGGTATATTCTTATTATGCAACAAATTTTAAAAGTAAATCATATTTTTTTACTGAGCGTAACTTCTAATGGAATCAATAATCCGAACATTAATAGAGAATGTAGACTCAGAAACAATTGTAGATATTGAATAGTTAACACATTTTTAGCAATATAGGGGGCAATCTGTACATATTTGCTTTCAATTTCCACCAAAGTAATATGATTAAAGATTATCGGTCAAATTTTCAAAACTACCATTTAAGTAAGCTACCAAATCATTCTAACAATTAACAATTAAATTTAAAAATTAAATTGAAATGTATACTCATTACAATGTAATGGGCGATCCATGAATATGATTCAACAGCAATTTGAGGGTTTTGTATTCACAGTTACGATGACGAATGTGTATTTGAGTATAATTTTATAACTTAATTGTGATGAATAATTGCATATTTGGATATTGAGTTTAATTGGATTATGTCTAATATGGATGTATTTTTTTTAATTGGTAACCTGTTTAAATTAATTTATTTTCATTTTTTTGGTAAATGATTTGACGGTTTGCAAATGTTGAAACTTAAACCAAACCACTTCGAAACGATTTAGTTCGGTTCAAAATCAAAACGTTGACAAATCCGTGTGGACTCAAATCAATAATGTCGAAAAAGCGATTTCGGTTCGATTTTGTGGATTCATTGTTTTGCCCTAACTCACAGTCTTACACTTAGCAAATAATTAATCATTTTATTATCAATAACAAAATAATCCACAACTTGCCACCTTATCAACCTACCAAATATGGTAAGGTGGCAATTGGCAAACTCCATTTTTTATAATTAGCCAACCAAACCCTATTTGATAATATATTAAATTCCTGCAGTTTGCCTTAAAAGTTCAGATTTATAAGATAATATATTAAATTCCTAGTCACAAAGTTAATTAGTTGCCCTGTCTGATTCTATAAATTCCTAATCTAGAAGCCTTCCATTAGATTACCAAATTAACCCTCACACATTTCTTTTAAACTCTTGATGCTATATAAATATTCTGAGAAATGGTGGGAGAGAGTTGTCTATATACATACAGTGGTGAGATCCTATGGAGCTTTCTAATGAACTTTGAGGATTATTAGAAAGTAAAAACGAAAATTAATGATTGGAAGAAAATAAAGAAAGATTAGGGTTTTGGTGCTTCGACTACTTTGGATAGGGAAGTACTAACTCTCACTTTTGCCCAATCAAATCTTACTATATACTTTTCAAGTATATATTTATATATACGATAGTCGACAAATTTTATCACAATCTCTAGCTTCCATAACGTACTCTTCATATACTCCATTAGAAGTCTAATTCATACAAAAGAAAATGACGAAAATGACGAAGTTATCATTTTATGTTACGCGCTCTAACTCATTGAAAAAGTATTATTACACTTAGTAAAAATTTCCCTCTTCCCCTAAAATACCTTTTTTAGGGGTTAAATCCTAGTATTCAACGGCGTATTTAAAAATTTACATAGAGCTTTTAGCTATAGACATACAACATTTCTGCAAAAGCTCTTCATGGCATGTTTTATAACTCGATAGAATTAAAGAGAAAAAAGAGTTAAAAATTTGAGCAATGTTTTGTACCGTTAAAAAATCTAAGTTAAAACATATATTTTATAGGATCCGCATCTTTTCAACCATATATTTCATCAATTTTTATCAAAATCAGCTAAAAATATAATCTAAATCTCTACCAAACAGGGACTTAATAACATCTAGTACTTCATTCAAACCTCGACGACCCCATATTTTTCAAATACATCCCCACACGGGTGTACATTACCCATGAAGACTTACCCCATATGTGTCATTATCCCCCATTGAGCCAAGTGTACTTGTTCCCCTAAGAGAATGGTGATGATAATATAACACATAACAAGACAAAATTGCAGCCATTTTCATCAACAAATTGCATCCCAAATAAAATTCTTAGATCCAAATTTGAACAAGTAAGCCAGGATATAGTAACCAGGCAATAAATATTCATAACCACACGCCTTTTCCACATCATATGAACCCAAAAAATGTAAACGATTTCTTGCTTAAAAAAAAAAAAAAGAAAACAAAAGGAAAAGGAAAAATCAAACTTAGAGAAATACTTGTATGAATATCAATTCTGAAGTGCTACTTTATTCCTTATTATCTAGTCAACTGCTGCTACTCAATACAGTCAGCTCGACTAAGTGATAAAGAAAAAGAAAGTCTTCACAACCAGCAAGACCAAAATATATACTTTATTCATAGAGATGAAGGAGCTATATTTCAATTAAAAAAAAAAGGGATAAGCACAGAAATTTAATCAAAATTTCTCTCCCTCAAGCTCAAGGATCGAGATCCTTTATTTGCTCTTCTTCTCCTGCATTAGAATGTTAACTCAATCAATTAACAAGAAGAATATATTAATAAGCTGCTCTTATCTGATCAATATGAAGAAGAAGAAGATCATTATTGGAAACATGTGAACATAATTACTATTCTCATTGTTGTTGCTGCTGCTGCCATTGATTTTGTGTACATCAATCTCAAAGCTTATGTTTCTACCATTGTTAATCTCCTTTTTTTGCAAAAATATTCTTGTTATTGTGCATCCAAACCTTGAGTACACCTCTTGAAACTCCTATTTCATTGCAGAATTCTCCAACTTTTGATTCATCACATTTTTGCATTTTCCACCCAAGTTCTTCTGAAAAAGAGTGCATTTTATCCTTCTGCTCCTGGCTAAATTTTGTTCTGAATCGCTTTCGTCCAGATAGGTTCTCTGTCTTGAATTCTGATGGCGTCGCCGGAGCCTGGTGGTGGTCCTCCGGCACCGCCATGCTAAGAGCCAATAACATGTTGGGTTGTAGTGGTGGTGGGGAGGGGGAAGGTGAAGGTCGGCCAGGTGGGCGGTGGAAATAAAAAAGAGGAGGGATAATACTGGTGGGGGAGGGATCATTAGGCTCACGGCGGTGGAAATTCCGGTGGCAGCCACATGCAGCGCATTTCAGGGAGGTGGGATCCGCTGTGGTGGCGGAAGGAGAAGGCATGAACTCTCCACAGCCGTCCACGGCATGTCCCCCCAAGCTGGCAGCGTGGTTCTTCAAACATTCTTTGTAAGTCACCACAAACACAGGAGGTGGTGAGTAGCAGTGGTGGTTCTTCTTGATTGCGCCGTTGGTGAAGGATAAGAAGGGCTCAATGGGTTGAGTATGTGGTGGGGTATCAAATTCAGAGTCATCTGGACTTTTGGTTGTGGTGGGGTTAGGGTATAAGTCCATCGATGGAGTATGATTTCAAGAAAAACCAAATCTCTGGTTAGGGTTCCTTAGTTAAACTCAAAACATCCTTTGATTTTCTTGAATGAGAGAATTTGATATTTAAGGTGATTTAAGGTTTCAAATTTGGGATTTAATGCAAATTGGGTTTTGTCTTAGAGGTGGGGTGGAGTAGGGTAGGGTAGGGTAGGGTAGGAGTGGGGTGGGGTGTATAATGATAAGGGGTGATAACAACTAGACAAAAAGGCCATTCCCAATAATGTAAACCACTTGTTTATATGGAAAATTCAGGTTGGATTTCAAGGGTGATCGTTGTAACGAGGCTTTGGGGTTGGAGTTGGGGGAGGGGATTCCTGATCGAGTTCACATCTACCTAATTTATCTGTTTTCTTCACTATTTTATTTGTTATATTTTTCAGATTCTGCTATTTGCTATTACACCGAGATTTTAATATAATTACAATTTTTATGTGTGCAATTAAGTCGAGATGACATATGCATTGTGGGAGGGGGTGATGTTAAATATTTGCTTATGAGTGATGTAACATATTAGTTGTGGGAATATTGTATGCATCACTAGTTGGTAAATCAAAGGGGTCGTGTGTCAAATGAATAGGGTTGGAGAATTCTTGAACTTGGCCTCCACTAATTGAATTCAAACCTCTGTATGTAACATACTAACATTGAGGGTTGAGCTATATTTTAGATTGGCAAGAATCAAGATCAAGCAGGAATATGATCTTCGTTTTGATATAATTTATGGAACTTGTTAAGTTTTTTATTTTTAATTAGTCTTAAACATAAATTTTAAAACTTCCAAGGTATATTGTCAAATATGTTTGTAATTCAATGAACCCAACTTCAAACCAAAAAAAATAGGAATATTAGCGTATTATATGCGGACACGTTGTGCATTGATACCATTTAGTGTGCTTAAGCCCCCGTTTGGCTCCCATTATTTGCCATTATTGGAGATTATAATTTTTGAAATAGTATTTTTTGAAAAATGTGATTAAAAATGAAGAAATTATTTTGAATTTACGTGTAATGTTATTTTGAAAATGATGTTTGTACAGAAAATTTTATTATAGAAAAATTACACACTCACATGGGAGTGGGCCTCATATGAATTAAATATTGTCCAAAAAAATGAGCTCCACCTATTGCGTGTAATCTGTAAAGTGTCTGTAAAAATTGTCTGTGCACTAAGCAAAGCTCATATTATTTTGTTGAATATGTGGTTGATAAGAAAAGAAAGAAAAATAGATTATAATTTTAATTGGGGCCGAACGGGGCTAAGTTATAAGTTAGATTTTAAGTAAAACATAGGAAATAGAAAAGACGAAGAAATGAAGAATTATGAAGTGCAACTCTTGACTTATGCCCACAAGCAAAAAACATTCACTAAACAAAATGACATGATTTATGATGTACTCGAACTCAAATACTCTCTAAATATAACAAAAATGTTGACATGGAGATAATGTAAAAATTTATTATATCTCAAATTGGTGCGATGGTAATTTTCATTAGTATTGCGGTGTTCCTACTCTAATCGAAGTGAATTAAAATAAAAAAAGGTATATATTATTTTAATCTTGTGATGTGATACATATCTTAAAGATATGCCAATTGAAAAGCAAATCTCATCACCCCTGCCCCTGCAAAAATTTAAAAAAAAAGAAAAGAAAAGATAAAAAGGGGGATAGAATGCCCTAAAAGCTAATATTTTCATTAGAATGACCATTAGACAGACGTGAGGCATAGGAGCTTAGATCCATGTGCTTATTTCTATAGGGTTTTGAATGAATTTCTAGAATATCATTAAAAATTTAAATTAAACTAACATTGGACATGCATTAATTTCCATACATAATTTACAAACTAGTGGAGATGTGTGTTTTATGTAAACAGTCGACCGTACCTAATTATTACAATCTCCTCTATGAAGAAGCACATATTCTCTTGAAATTATGGTAATGTTGTGACAAGTTCATTAAAGAAATTATCGAACTCCCTTCATTTTTCTTCATCGTAGAGAAAATGATAGAAAATGAAAATCTTTCTTACAAAGTTGGACATGACATTCATAGATTTCTTTCAGTAAAAGCCTAGATATTTGGTGCAATAAAGTAAAAAATTCAAAATCTCCTCAATGGATTGGAAACATATCCTGACATTTTGTCACTGTCATATTAGCACGCGCAACAATTGCAATATGGAAATATTATCGAACTAACTTTTTTTTGGGAAAATTGCAGCGTCGGTCCAAACCTTTAATTTTATTGCATATTACATCCTAACCTTTTATTTTTACGACTGCAGTCCCAAACCTTTTTATTTAACTGCAGTCGTGATCCAAGTCACAAATTCCGTCCATAAAACCGTCAGTCAAAATTGAAACAGCAATTTTGACTCAAATTGACAACGTAATTGAGGGGCAAAATTGTCAAAGCCAGTTATCCAATAATAATACTAACAAAAACCAAAAAAAAGAAAGGAAAAAGTTGTTTGTCTTCTCCAAATACCCCACCCCACCCCACCCCACCCCACCAAACCAAAACCCAGAAGTAATGCCCCTTCCCTATGTGGTAGGTCGCTTGACAACTCTTGTGGTAATGAAAAGCATGAAGAGAAACTCTATGATGGCGCGATTGCTAGTATAGTAATTGGTGCTATTTTCTGTAGGTCGTCTTGATTTTATTGCTTATTTCGTGTTTGTGTAGAAAATTGGGTAGAAAGGGAGCTGGATCAAAGGACAAGATGGGGGTCAGGGTTCCTTGCGAGAAAACTTTGGAGAGTGAGGGAACGAATGTTCCTACCAGTAGTTTCACGAATGTGGTGGGGCCAAAGGAGAAGGGAAAGGGTGAAGGAAATGCGATTGGTGGTGGAAAAAAGGGTTGGTATTTGTGGGAAAAGGGATATAAAGTTGATTTAGATGATTTAATAAAGGCTTCGATCAAGGTGTCAGGCAAGGGGACGTTTGGAACTGCATACAAGGCCGTATTGGAGACAAGCTTGGTTGTTGTGGTAAGGAGGCTGAATTATGTGAGTTTGGGAGAGAAGGAATTGAGGTCGGTGATAGTGGTGTTTGCGGTGGTGATGGTGGGGCGGTGCGATGTCGGGTAGATTGGCAGCGATCGATGATAGTGCCTGTGTTTTTGGGTTTTGGAGGTGAGGTAGGGTAGGAGTGAGGTATTTGGAGAAGACAAATAGTTTTATTTATTTATTTAAGTTAAAATACTGATATGAAAGAATCTGTATTGTTGCTTCTTATTCCAATTCAACCGTATTATATACATGAAGGTAGTAGCAAGAATATTCTAGAAGAGGAAAGAGGGATGAAAGAATCTGAATTGTTGCTTCTTATTCCAATTCAACCGTAATATATACATGAATGTAGTAGCAAGAATATTCTAGAAGAGGAAAGAGTGAGAAACTATTTTCTACAATTGGTTAACAGAATTATTTCAATCCCTAAAAATCAGGAAATGTAACAATGCTGATATCCTTTCCATGTGAGCTGGCTGAGCATTCCATGTGAGCTGATCGATCAATTCTAACTCCCCTTCTCAAGGTGGAGTGTACTCAATCACTCCAAGCTTGTCTCTTAGCAGTTGGAACCTTGAGTGTGACATAGGTTTGGTTAGAACATCAGCCGTTTGATCTGAGGAAGGGATATATTCAATCTTCGGCTGATTTTCAAGCACTTTGTCTCTTACAAAGTGTGCATCCAGCTCTATGTGTTTCGTACGAGCGTGATATACAGGATTTGATGCTAAGGCGCTTGCACTTTGATTATCACACCATATAGTGGGAATTGAGTGCTGAGCAATTCCTAACTCATTCATCAGTGATTGGATCCACGTGATTTCAGCTGTGCAGTGAGCCAACGCTCTGTACTCTGCCTCCGTACTGGACCTAGCTACCACATGCTGCTTCTTAGAACTCCAGGACACCAAGTTGTCCCCAAGATAAACACAGTAACCAGCAGTCGATCTCCTATCATCCGGGCAAGACGCCCAGTCAGAGTCTGCAAAGGCGGTGATCTCTAGGCTGTCGTTTCTTTGGATGGTTATCCCATAGTTTAGTGTTCCTATCAAATATCTGAAAACTCTTTTTAAGGCTTTCCAATGTCCATCAGTTGGTGCTTGGAGGTATTGGCTTAGTCTATTCACAGCATAAGTTAGGTCAGGTCTAGTGTGAATCAGGTACTGAAGACCACCTATGGCACTTCTGTAAGGAGTAGGATCTGCCATTGCTTTGCCTTCATTTTTGGAGATTTGCTTTCCCACGGCCATAGGTGTGATGCTAGGTTTCAGGTTCTCATAGCCAAACTTTCTCAGTAGTTCAGTTGAGTACCTAGTTTGCTTTAGTTGTAAACCAGCTGCATCTCTTGATACTTCAATTCCCAGGAACTGCTTTAACTTCCCCAAGTCCTTGAGTGCAAAGCTGTGATTCAGTTTATCAATAAACTCTTGCAGCTTCTGATCATTGTTGCCTGTGATAACTATATCATCAACATAAATCAAAGCAAATAGAATGTCAGTCTCTTTAGCTAAGAAAAACAGGGAATTGTCAGCCTTGGATTGTCTAAAGTTCCACTTCATCAAGGTCTGCTTGAGCTTATCATTCCAAGCCCTAGGAGCCTGTCTTAACCCATACAATGCCTTCTTAAGTTTGCAGACGTGACTAGGATAATTTTTGTCGATAAATCCTTGTGGCTGATTCATGAAAACATCCTCATTTAAGCTCCCATTCAGAAAAGCATTATTGATATCCACCTGTCTAATCTGCCAATTCTTCGACACAGCAAGAGTTAAAATTATTTTAAGTGTGGCAGCCTTAATTACAGGACTGAAAGTCTCACCAAAGTCGACACCAGGTGTTTGAAGAAATCCTTTAGCTACGAGCCTTGCTTTGTGCCTTGCAACCTTTCCATTTGCATCAAGTTTGAGTTTAAAAACCCATTTGTTGCCTATGATTTTCATTCCAGTTTCAGGTGCAACCAGGGTCCATGTATCATTTTTCATAAGAGCACTGTATTCTTCTTCCATTGCATTTCTCCAATTCTCACTTGACAGTGCCTCATTGACATCTATTGGTTCACCTGTATTCTGTTCACTTCCTGTCACATTTATATAAGCTTTTGGCTTGAAAATCTCAGCCTTGCTCCTTGTTGTCATATGATGTCCAAGGCACTGAGATAGGTCTCTTCCTGGCAAGATTTCATCATCAACTGCATTCTGATTTTCAGTTCCAACAGGTTGACTTTCTGAAATTTCACAGTCTGATGCCACTTGGTGATTCACTTCATTTCCTACCACAACTTCACCAACCTCAGTTTCATCTTCTCCAGCAATAGGATCAAGTGCAGATCTTACCTCAGGTTGCATTGTAGGAACTGCAGTCACAGTTTGAGGTGTGTTATGGTTATCAGGCTCAATGAAGGGAAGATAATTTATTCCAAGGTTGCTGCTGTGAGGTTGGACTTGTTTGTTTAGGAAGCCAGATTCGAAGGGAAATTCAGACTCATTAAAAACAACATGTCTTGAAATGTAAATTCTTCCACTAGGACTTAGGCACTTATAGCCTTTGTGGGTGTCACCATAGCCAAGATAAACACATTTCTGTGAGTGAAAAGCAAACTTATGTTTCTGGTAGGGTCTAAGGCAAGGGAAGCACGCACAACCAAAGGTTTTAAGTTGTTTAAAATCAAAGTCCTTATCAAACAGGGTTTTGTAGGGTGATTTATTGTCTAGGATTGAAGTAGGCAATCTGTTAATCAGGAAAGTGGCTGCTTTGAAGGATTCCCACCAATAGTAAAGTGGCATTTGGGCCTGAGATAGAAGTGTTAACCCAGTCTCAGTGATATGTCTATGTTTGCGTTCAGCTCTATCGTTTTGCACTGATGTATAGGGGCAAGAGTGCCTAAGTTCAATACCACATTCAAGAGCCAATTTACTGAAGTTTCTGAACTCACCCCCCCAATCGGATTGTAGAGTTTTAATTTTCCTGTCAAGTTTATTTTCTACCAGAGTTTTGAATTGAGAGAAGATGGTCAGAGTTTCTGATTTATGTTTCATGGGATAGATCCATGTATACCGGCTATGATCATCCACAAAGATTACATAGTACCTAAAACCTGAAGTTGAATTCAAAGGGGCTGGTCCCCAGACGTCTGAATGGATGAGTTCAAGTGGATTCATAGCATGAGATGATGAAGTATTAAAAGGAAGAGCATGAGATTTACCAATTTTGCAAGAATCACAGAAAAAAGGAATTTCATTAGATTTAAATTTTTTATTACAAGACTTAAGGACTTGACTCAAGACATGATTTGAAGGATGTCCAAGCCTTCTGTGCCATAGATCTAACTCTAGAACTGAAGTTTGATAAACTGAAACCAGGTTGTCATGACTAGGTTGGGTTGTATAACACTGATAGTTATTTTGATGAAGTGAGTTGAGAGAGGTATTTTCTGGCTTGAGAGTTGGCAACTGCAGTTCATACAATCCGTCCTTAAGCATTCCCTGCAGCAAGATCCTCTTCGTCTGGAGGTCCTTCACAAGACAGCAATTAGCATAGAATTCCATGAAAACTCTGTTGTCATTAGTTAACTGTGAAACACTGATCAAGTTTCTTTTAATCGATGGAACATGCAGTAGTTTATTTAGCTCAAGTGTTTTGTTATTTAGAGCAGAAATTCTACCTTTACCAGTATGAGCAATATGTAATCTACTTCCATTACCAACTACCAGTTTTTCTTTCCCTTCATATTCCCTTACAGTATTTAATTTACCTTTGTCTGATGTCACGTGGTTGCTGGCACCAGAATCAACAAACCAAGCGGGGTCTTCCAGCACTTTTGGTGAAGCTACAAAGGCTGATGGTGCTGGATTGTGATTTTGCTGTCCAGAGGCATTAATTTTTCCTCCCATATACCTCTCATCGTACCTGTTGTAGCACCAGCTTGCAGAATGGTTATTCAGGCCACAAATTTGACAAGGACCTCTGTTTTCACTATGTCTTCCAGTTATGTTTCTGCCTCTGCCCCTTGTTCTTCCTCTGAGGCTTGCAAATCTCCCACCATTAGTGCCTCTAAAACCTCTGCCAGCACTTGAACTAGCTCGATGTGCGAACTGTACACTTGACTGACTAACAGTGAGTGAGGTGAAATTATTTTTTACTTGGCTCAAGTGTTCAAGTCGACTCTCGAATGTCATAAGTACAGACGAAAGTTCATACCAAGAGATGGAATCTCTGCTAGTTATCTGAACAACTATTGGTGTATACTCCTCATCAAGACCTGATAAAACTTGTGTAATTAGGTCACTTTGATCAATAATTTTACCTGCTATCTCCAGGTTATCTGCCAGCTGTTTGATGGCAGTAAGATATTGATCCATTGTCATGGATCCTTTCCTGATTCTCTGCAGCTCCCCAGTTAGGAATATCACACGCGACTTGTTCAATATTCCAAAACTCTCTTCAACAGCCATCCATAGCTTGTTTGAGGTTTTACATCCCATTACTTTCATGGCGATTTCTGGAGTCATGGATGAGTATAACCATCCTATAAGTAGCTGGTCAGCTGAGTTCCATTTCAGAAATTCTGGATTTTTTGTCATCTCAACTGCTTCTCCCTGACCGATGGTGGTTTGGGTAGCTAGAAACTCAGGTGGACATTCCTTTGTCCCCATTAGATATCCCTCAAGGTTATGCCCTTTAATGATGGGCATAATCATATTTTTCCATAGGAGGAAGTTGTTTCTATCAAGCTTAACTGAGGGTGATTGACTGATGTTTATTCCAAAGGCCAAATTCTGGTTTGCTGCTAGCTGAGTTGCTGTGCCGGTACTGAACTCAGATTGGTTACCAGAATTGGTGTTAGCCATTTTGGCTCTGATATTAAGTTAAAATACTGATATGAAAGAATCTGAATTGTTGCTTCTTATTCCAATTCAACCGTAATATATACATGAAGGTAGTAGCAAGAATATTCTAGAAGAGGAAAGAGGGAGAAACTAATTTCTACAATTGGTTAACAGAATTATTTCAATCCCTAAAAATCAGGAAATGTAACAATGCTGATATCCTTTCCATGTGAGCTGGCTGAGCATTCCATG